GTCTCCTCTATTGTTATTGTTGTATTGTTGTAATTATAATTGTGTCCTATCTTGTGAAATCTTCTTATTTATTATTGTCATCCTGTAAAGCGGTTTGAGAAGCCACCTTTAAAGGTGCTATGTAAAATAAAGTTTATTATTATTATTATAATTTTAAAGGCAAGAGACCATTAGTGAATGCTTATAATGTTTGAGCTACTGTATATGAAAGGTATGACCTGATGTAATAGTGGAGACACGAGACCAGAATTTCTCTATAACAATTTAGAACATGAGATAAAAAAAAATATCAATGCCCTTCCAAAACCATGTACAACTCTGTAAAGGCAAATCAGTAACTGAGAAATATTGCTGCACATTCACAGTCTTCCTGTGCTGGCAGGACTTTAAAGTTTCTCTGGAGGATTGTAAATATGAGTGACGCAAGGGCAGAACTATAATTAAGAAATAATGAAGTGATATTGTCTTCTTCTGCAGCAGTCTTAGCAGTGCTGTACAATTTCACAAAACACAATTATCTTGGGTAATCTTATACAAGTCCTCATTATTATCCCTCATTTTTCTGTATAGTGCATCAACAGGAGACATCTATGTAAAAGCACAAGAATGGACCTCTGAAGGTCCTCTTAGGACAGAATACTAGAACATTGGGTTAGAAAAGAGAAACTGGTAAGGATTAAACAGCGGGTACATAACCCTCACTCCCAGACCCTCCATCTCAAAAGTAAAGATAAACATACAGCCCCTATGAACTTTGGATACTTTTTTATACTGCATACGCTTATTTAAAAATGTGAGCCTCTTAGATGATAAATCCCAGATACAAATGGAATAGAGCTCAGCAACCTTACGTACCTGTACTTTATTTTAGTAAAAACAAATTAAGATGTAAAACTTTATTCTGATTGAATTCATTTTCTAAACTGGTGTAAATACATTTCAATTTCTTGGTGATTGGGCTTTTATTTATTTTTTTACTATTATTTAATCAAAGGCAGAGCTATAAATATCGATAACATTTGTCGCCTAAAACAATCCACTTCAAATTACTTTCACTTGTGACTTATATAATCAGTTGGGAGATGGATATGCAATAACAATGTTGTCCTTCAAGCCATCATTAGCTAGTTTTTACCTATACAACTTGTAAAAGTAAAGTTATATTAAAGAAACAATTGGGACCTTTTAAACTTGATTTACGATAGTTCTTCAGAATACTGTCACTTCTCTGTTCTGTGGCTGTGGTCCAATAATAATGGTATTCAAACAGCAGGAATGTAATGAAAGTTTTAGAACAGGAGGTTCATCCCAATCTATAGCAATGCTGTGTAGGAACTGTACATAACAGTGATGCTTCTGGCTCTTGATAGACTGGTACGTAGACCAAATGAATATCAAGGAAAAAGCAGTTTTAAGATTCCAAAAGTCAAAGGAATAACACTGAACTGAAATGTCCAGAGAAGATCGGTTACAGAATCTTCCTGTTATAGACCTGAAAATAATTAGCTTTTACTTGTAAATGAAATCCATTCCCATGTACCATATTAATGATAGTTCTGTTGAAGAAATAAATTTG